CCTTCGTTCCTTCTTGTGGACCGCCGGACAAGATTTAATTCCATAAAAAAAGCAAAACATGTTTGGAAAGCATCAGGTCTTTTCTTTTGTTACCCCCTGAACATATATGCTAATTTAACAAATTACTGGGGTCACACAGTATCAGCTTTGTAACCAGGCCCTCTCTTTGTCTACCGATCTTTGGTGAGAGGGAGGGACACATCCATTTGTTCCACTTGAGTCTCGTATGTGCCCTGACGGGGTTGGAACTCACGACCTTGGCCTATTGGTCCATGACTCCTTGGGCGGCTTCCTCACTCCTTACTTCCTTGGCAGGAGTGTCTCCATCCTGGGGGCGGGGCGGGGCTGGAAGCAGGTACTGGGCCGCCGAGCAGGGATTTCAGGAAAATCAGAGACATGGCATGCATTTAGCCTGAAGGTCATTCCTAATTCCAGCTCACCCACATGTGATTAGCTGGACAGGAAGCAGGTGCTGGGTGTTGCCAGGGGGGCGGGGCGAGGCTGGGGACAGGAAGCGGAAAAGGAGGAGTCAGGCTCCCCTTTAAAGGTCAGTGGTGGGCAGTGAAGCCCAGCTGCACCTAAAGCGGAAGGGCTAGGTTGGGGTTGAGGCTCCGGATGACCTCTCTGCACAGACTTGACCTTGGGGTGGAGGGAGCTTCACAGGGGAGGGCGGGTGCGGGGCAGAGGAATGGCCGTGCTGTGAGGCGTGGAGGCCGACGGAGCCCCGTGCTTCCTGGCCCTGCGAAGGCGGTAATGTGGTTAGCGGCATTGGAGGGGAGGAACGCAGGCATTCTGCTGTGGCTGTTCTCGGGTGACGTGACCGGATGCAGGGCGCACAGGCAGTGAGGGATGGAGCCAGGACCCCACCTGGGTCTGCCCAACATGAAGTCCAGGCTTTTTGGGGAGGCCTGGCCTTCAGGGACAGGAGACCTGGCAATCCTGGAGGGCTTCCTGGAGCAGGGGGTGGCGTGGCTTATAAACCTTCACTCGGCTAAGTGTGCAGCCAGGGCCAGAGCGTGCAGGACGGGAGTGAGGAGGCTGGGCTCACCTCCTGCCTCCCTGTGCGTTTGGACTAGACACACCCTCTCTGGGCCCGTGTCCCATCTGTACAGCGGGAAGCTGGGGCAGATGGCCTTGCTTGATGTCTTCCACGTCTGGAGCTCACTCCTTCTCACATCGATGTTTGCTAAATATTTCTCCTGTGGGAAGACTGACGTCTGATAACCAACACCTCTCCCTCCCCAAGGCCCCTGTGTGGTTTCGGGATGCAGGGGGTGTCCAGGCGGGGGTCAAAGGTAATGACAAGGGCTGTCCCTGGCCTGCCACTTGGAAAGACTGCAGCTCTTTCTGGCCACCAGGCTGTTAACCTGCCAGGACATTCGCTTCCTGGGGGACATGGTGAAGCAAGCCCAGGGCCTGACAGATCTGGGTTCACACCTCCGTCTTCTGCATGCTCAGTGGAGCCGTGGGCCAGCCTCACAGCCTCCGTTTCCCCACCTGCAAGCAGGGCGGTGTTATCTCCCAGCCCGTGATCTCCTTGGCCCCGCTGCCCGGTTCTGAGTGGGCGGGTAGGAGTGATGGGAACTGGGTAAATGTGTGGAGAGATTGAAAATAGATTAAAATGTACAATCCCTCGAGCTTTAGGAATTCTTCCCTGTCCCATGTTCATATCCCTGTGGCTCACCCGAGGCCTCTTCATCCCCCGCCAGATGAGGGTGCAGCCTCAGTGCTGTCTGTGCCGCCAGGGGGCCTCCTCCAGGTAGCCCTCCGTGTGGATCCTGAGCAGCTGGTCTGAAGTGCCCAGGTGTCTGACCTTGTCCTCCCAGGCATAAACCTCACCATGGCTCCCCGCTGCCCGTCAGGTCAAGTTCAAGCCCTTTAGGGATTTATCGTGCTTCCTCTCCCACTGGACCTCCAGGCCCGCCAGGCAGCACTGTGCTTGCTCATGGCTGCATCCTCAGCGCCCAGGAGGGTATCTGGCACTGAATTGGTCCTCAGGACGTGGTCATTCTCCTCACCATGGTGTGCACGCGCAGGGCACCTCATCCTCTAAGAGGAGTTTCGGGTACAGACGTGCAGATCATCAGTATTACTGTCTTACACGGATGAGGAAACTGAGGTTCGGAGAGGACACGGGTCTTGATGGGATTCAACACGATCACTGAATGAACACATGCTCGCTCTCATAACCGGAGAGGATGGCAGGAGGCCGCTGTTACCTTCGCTGGGAACAGAAGTCTGAGCCCCGAGCCCGGAGCCTTTTCCAGGTGCAGACAGCTGAGGGTTGGCGGCAGCCACAGGTGTGGGCAGGTGGGCCAGCAGCGTCCATCTGCCTGGGCGGAGCAGGTGGGAATCGTGCCGGCACCGCCACCTGGGGGTCCTCCGCGGGTCAGGCCACCAGGGTTCCATCACCTCCACGGCGTGTTGGCGGGACTGACAGGGAGATGCTAGCAGGACTCTTCACTTAGTGCAGCGGTTCTCAACCTGTGGGTCGCGACCCCTTTGGGGGTCAAACGACCCTTTCACAGGGGTCGCCTAAGACCATCGGAAAACACATATATAATTACATATTGTTTTTGTGATTAATCACTATGCTTTAATTATGTTCAATGTGTAACAATGAAAATACATCCTGAATATCAGATATTTACATGACGATTCATAACAGTAGCAACATTATAGATATGAAGTAGCAACGAAAATGATTTTATGGTTGGGTCACCACAGCATGAGGAACTGTATTAAAGGTTTGCGGCATAAGGAGGTTGAGAACCACTGACTTAGGGCCTACCAATTTCTGGACGTTATTTCCCCACCGTGAACATAAAACTATGCAAAGTTAATGAAAGTATAGCAAAAAGGAAAAGGGACAGTATTCAATGGTCTTCCCACCGCCCTTGGAACTGCTGTTCTAGTCCCTTCCATTCCCGCCCTGAGACAGAGCCGTGGAGAGCCATGTGCCGCCAGAGCATTTTACTTTCTATGTGGAATGAGGGGGCCTGTTTCAGAACTCACCTGTCCATGCCCTGGTTCCATCATTCCTGAGCTGGGTGACCTCGGGCCAGTTCCTCGACCTCTCTGCGTCCGCATGGCCTCAGCAGTCCCTCAGAGAACGCCACTGGCCTGTCAGGTTGCTGCTGTCTGACCTGGGTTGGCCTGCCGGGTGAGGAGAGTGAGGGATCCTTGGTGGGGGGAGGGGAGGAACAGCTGGGAAGGGCCTTCTCCAGGCAAGGAGTTCTGTTTGCACCCCGAGGGCAGTGGGAGCCAAGGATGGTCTGCGAATGTAGTTTCCTGTTTTCTGATCCTCAGAAAAGTAGTGGGAGTCTCAGGATGAAGGGACCTGAGTCAGGGTGGCTGTGGACGAGGGGGCAGGTGGGGCTGCATGGGGTGGGGCAGAGGGGGAGGAAGTGGCCAGTGGGGGACATGTGGTGGTGGTGGTGGTGGCGGGGGTGACAGAAGAAGCTGGTCTCAGCAAGCGTTGAGCAGGAGCTGGTTCATGGTCTAGCTGGGAGTGCCCAGGGACCAGATCGGTGATGAGGGTGTGGGCCAGGTTGGGGCTTCCCGCTCCCAGAAGCCCTTTTTGGAGAGACTTCGGGGAGGTCAGGAGCACCCGTCACTGCTCCAAGGAACCTGCAGGTGGGGAAACTGAGGCCCACAGCGGCTGTGTGACTCCCCCAGAGGGACTAAGGCTGAGAGGTGCGAGCCCAGATCCCCCGCTCTTCTGCGTCATGGCCTGCCGGCTCCCAAGGACGGGGGCCCCACCATCAGGTGTGTGGCTTGTGTCTTTTAGACACGAAGCCAGAGGTCAGGGCTGGCATCAGCTGGGGACTCTGCCCCTCACGGCCGTGCCCAGAGTCCCTTCCAGCTGGCCGCCCTGTGACTGTTCAAAAGCCGTTCCTTCTCCCCGACGCTTCTTTTCTTCACTGTCTCCATGCTCGTTTCCCACTGGATTCTTCTGGGAAAGTGTGTGGTTCAGGGTCCCACCGACAGGGACGCGGCGCATCCCGCACACAGCTGCTCTTTAATCGGTGCCCGAGTCCCGCTCAGGTCCGGGCGAGGAAAGGAATCCTTGTGCCGCAAGGGACGTTCTAGCGACAGCCGGTGATACTGGAATAGGAACTGTGCCAGTGACCACATTGCCCGGGTCTGGTCATTGTGTGGTGATTTCTTTCACGACAGCCTTGGTCTTAAGGGATGAAAGTCACGGCGTTTCGGGGGAGATGTCATGATTTCTGCAGTGGCTCTCGGATGCTTCATCGAAATAGACCTGTGGGTGGGAGTACAGCTCCACAGCGGGGGAAGGAGAGGAAGGAGAGGTGGACAACTGTGAGCCTGGATAAAGGTGTGGGGAGGTCATTGTCCTGCCCTTGGAACTTCTCTGGGGCTTTGAAACGTTGCACAATGACAGGTTTGTAAGGTGCTGCAGGTGGGGCGGTGGCCTCAGGCGGCCACCGGGCGCCCTGTGGTCTCCGGCCCTTCCACGTCTCGGTCGCCTCAAGGCGGAGAGAACTGCTCACCCCACTCAGCTCTGGGCAGCCTCTCGGGGGCAGTTTGGAAACAGCAGAGGCGTTGGGTAAAAGTCATTCCTCCCTCTGGAGAGAAATCATTAGTTTTATACTCTTTGCTACGGACCAACTTGCCTTCCAGTGTTTATTTCTCTCCTTCCCTCACATTTTCCTTGACATTCTATTGCCTCGTAAAATTGCCAAAGTAGTATTTGTATTAATTGTTATTATTCAAACAGAGGAGAGAATAAAGAAATAATAGCCCCTCTTCTTCTCCAGCCCCTGGAGGGTCACCAATGGTAGGTGGAGCCTCCTAACTGTTTCCTGTGCTCATGGAAACACATCAAAACAAGTAGGTAGCTAGTAGGGCTTGGTGTCTTACCCTTTGTTAACCGGTTAGCCTCCTCGTTCTTCTTGAAGACACAGCTTGGGGGGTCACCTCCTCCAGGAAGCCCCCCGAGCTCTACACATTGACCTCACTCCATTGCAGTCATCTGATTACGAGCCGTCTCCCCCGCCAGATCTTGGGTAACGTGAGGGCAGCAGCTGTTTCCGGTCACCATCCACATTGGAGCTGCGAGCCCAGGCGATGCACAGGCAGTGTTTGTGGAGCGAACGGACGGGCAGGGGAGGCGTCCTGGGTGAGGAGGCCACATGAGCGGAGCCCGGCAGGTAAGAGAACTTCCTTTTTTTTTTTAAGGAAAAAAAAGACTTTTATTGATTTCAGAGAGGAAGGGAGAGGGAGAGAGAGATAGAAACATCATTGATGAGAAAGAATCATTGATCGGCTGCCTCCTGCACACCCCCAACTGGGGATCGAGCCTGCAACCGAGGCATGTGCCCTTGACTGGAATTGAACCCGGGACCTTTCAGTCTGCAGGCGGACGCTCTATCCACTGAGGCACACCAGCTAGGGCAAGAGAGAACTTCTTGTTCTTACACTTCTAGCCTCTGGGAGGAGAGTCCTCAGTGTGCCTGGGGACAGAAGGCCACTTTGGGGAACATGGCTACCCCACCCCAGGGCCCCGTACCCTGGCCGACTGTCCTGGCACTAATGCCCCATGTGGGCTGGGCAGATGGGGTGGCCATGAGTTACCCGAGGGCTGGGTCAGGGCTGTGTCCCTCTTCTCCTCAGGGTCTTGGTGTTCACTGGGGGAAGCACAGGCCAGGGCTGGAGCCGTTCAGGGTTTAAAGGTGGGCATGACCAGACCTTTATCTGTCTAGGATCCTGACTCCTTCCTCCTAATGGTCAAATAAGGCTATACAATCTGGTTCCGTCTGGCAGTGTGGAGGCCGGGGTGGGGGGGAGTGGAGGCCAGA